TAAACAATCTCTTATAATAATAAAAACTAAGGCAAATCTTAGTAATCGTATTGATAAAAAGCTTTTTTCACAACTTGAAAATGAAATATTTTACGAAGAGTAGTAGCCGTTATAAAATCATTATTATCACGTGGACTTCCATTTAGAGGTCAAAATTAAGTTATTGGTTCAATCCACAATGGAAATTTTTTAATGGCAATTAAGCTTGTAGCACAATTTGATCCATTTTTAGCTCAACATATTTCACGATATGGAAATTCACGTAGTGGTCATACATCATATTTATCACCCACAATTTATGAAGATATGAAACTTTTGGCAAATAAAATAATCCATACAATTGTTGATCAGATTAAAAAATGCAAATACTTTTCATTCATTATTGATTCCATACCTGATATAACACATATAGATCTTTTATTGTACGATATGTGTATGAAGGTTAGTTGAGCGTTTCATTCAATTTATACCTAGTTGTGGACATAAAAATAACAATATGAAAAAAGCCGTTTAGACACGTTGGAAAGCCTTGATATTAGTATAAATGATTGCAGAGGCTTACGATACTGCTAATAATATGTCTGGGCGTTATAACGGACTACAGGTTAGTATAAATGATTGCAGAGGCTTACGATACTGCTAATAATATGTCTGGGCGTTATAACGGACTACAGGTAAAAATAAAATAATTAAATCCCCTTGCTGTATATATACCATGTGCGGCGCATTCGTTAAATTTAGTTGGTACTTATTCTGTGCAATGTTCTAATGAAGCTGCTCAATTTTTTCTTCATGTTCAACATCTTTATACATTTTTTTCCGGATCTACTCGCAGATGGAAAGTTTTAATGTTTATTTTAAAGTCTGAATCAAAAACACTAAAACGTCTTTCAGGAACTCGATGGTCATCAAGAGATGATGTTTGTATGAGTTTAAATGATACTTGGAATGAGATATTAAAAACTTTAAGTTTACTTGAAAATTACCATAGTGAACCAGCTGAAACTCGAAACGAAGCCTCTGGATTGCGCAAGAAGTTTGAAAAACTCAAGACAACGTTTATAGCTATATTTTGGGGATTTATATTAAACAGATTAAATGTTGTAAGTAAATAACTTCAGTGTTGAAATAGATATTACAGTAGTTTTAGAATTGTACGATTCACTAATAAATTTAATATTATCTCAGAGAGATAATTTTGATGAATTTGAGAAAAAAGCAATTTTCGAGCTCAAATCAAAGAATATAAAACAACAATTTCAAGAAAAAAGAAAAGAATAATTCCATATGATGAATTAAGACAAGATGATGTTCAGTTAACAAGAAAAAATCATTTTAGAATCAATACATATTTAACAATAATAGATAAATTAAATAATGAGCTTCAAAAAAGACGTGAAGCCTATAAATATTTTTGTGAAACTTTTTCTTTTATAAACACACTTAAAAACATGAAGCAAAATAAAATATCAGAAAAAGCTAAAAAATGTTGGCAAATTTATAAAACTGATATAGATTATGATGAGTTTGAGCATGAACTATCACATTTTCGATCTCTTTTAATTTCCAAGTATAATGAAGAAAAATTCACTGCATTTAAACGATTGGTAATAATTTATAAAAATGACTTTGTCGGTGTTTCCAAACATAGAAATAATTTTGAGAATTTATATTTTAACACATGCCACTAATTGTACCGCGGAAAGATCATTTTCTACTTTGAAGCGGATAAAAACTTATTTATGTTCAAAATTAGGACAAGAAAAATTAAGCTCTTTGCCAATTTTTGCGACTGAAAGTGTAATGACACAAGGAATACAATTTGAAGATATAATTCAAAATTTTGTGGAAAAAGAAGCAAGACGCAAACAAATGAAATAGTTTTACATTATTTTTATTTGTTTCATAATAATAAGTACGAATTTTTAAGTTTGATTATTATAATTATATTTATTTGGTAGAGCAAATTTATTCAAAAAAATGGTGATGTATTATAATTATATTTTAATAAATATTGTATTGATATACTATTTACTTGATTAGAACAGTTTATTAACAAAACCGCCATTAATTATTGTTTAGTATCAGTCTTTATGATTTATTTTTTTGTAATATGTTAAATAAGTAAATAAAAATATGTTTTCTCGTTGATAAGTTAAATGGGGCGGCAAAAAAAAATTTGCCTAGGGGCGACAATTGTATAAATCCGTCTCTGTATATAATAATACTCCAGGCTACGTAATCAGTTATTTATTTGTATAACATTGGCATCATTGGGGGAGAGCTGGGTGGGCATTTTCCCCCTCTTATTATTAGTGGGTCGCTGTCGGGCCGGATGCCAGCTAAAATTAATTTTTCAATTTATTTATATAATATTATGAATTTATCTTCTATTTTCAATGAGTAATATAATATTAATATAGTATTTTATTAATGTATTGTTAGCGAGCAGTTATTTTTTTTTTTGTTATATTATGAGCCGTCAAAACGTCCACCCACCCACCCTCAAAAACTAATCTATACATAAACTCTTTAATTGTATACTAATTTTATTGTATAACACGTTTACTAATTTTTGTTTTATTTTATTATTCATGAATTGTTTGAAATGAAATACCATTGGTATATCTGACATATATTATAATAATTTTATACACAAATCATCTTAATGTGTATAAAATTGTCCGTTTAAATATTAATATGATACATTTTCATCAGTCTTCAAGTTCGCCATATTTTCAATTGAATTTATAATTTTTAATGACTCTTGATAAACCAGGATTTAATGCCATTTATAAGTTTATCTAATATTGTATAAAATACCGTCATTGCATTTGGGTTTTTTCGCAGAAAAATTTTGATTTTGTGATGTATCAATTGTTGATGACACATTTATTATTTTTCATCTGGGATGTATGTATCCATAATCTTCTTACATTTCTAAACATAGATACTTGGTAAATATTTTCAAAATTATTAGAATTATTTCTCATTGAAATATGTGAGGATTTAATGAATTAAGTTGGTACATTAACAGCAGTAAATAGTAAATCAAAAAATTTAAATTTGCATGCAACAGTTTGCTATCTTTTAAATTCATTTGCGAAATTGGTTGTATCATAATAAGTCTGGAAATACATATTTTAACGTATTTTTCACAAATTTTTTCAATAACATTTAAAATAGATGTTAAAATATCATAAACATAGTAATATACTATTACGTAAATAACATTATGAATTAGTTAAGTAAATTCTGATGCATATTGTGTAATGAAAACCAATAAAAGAATAAAAACGTTGCGGTTGAAATACCAAATGCAGCACAGGCCACAAAGACCGCCTGTGCGGAGATGTCGAGTATTTTACATGGAACGTCCTCGAGCTATTTTGGCAGCGAAAAATCAGGACATTTTGAACATAAAAATGCAAAGCCGAATCGTTGGCCAATTACATTAGTTTAAATCGAATTTCTGAATTCATTAGATTTGTTGGGAGTCCCGCCGCCAATTTGCTGCTAAAAGTTGGCTCGATGATAACCATGTTACGCAATCTGAATCAACAAAAACTATGCAATGGAATAAAACTCAATGTTAAGAAGTTGATGAGAAACATAATTGAAGCAACGGTTATCATAAAAAAGTTACAAGATGAAGATGTTTTGATTCCAAGAATAACACTGATTTCGACCAACTTTCCATTTCAGTTAAAATATATCCAGTTTTCGGTTCACCTAGCATTCGTATGACAACTAATAAATCGCAAAGCTAATCGTTAGAAGTGTACGAAACAAACTTTGAATTGCCATGTTTTTTCCATGAGCAGTTATACGTGGTGTGCATAAGAATCGGTAAGCCATTGGTGTTATTTTTTTCTCTCTGGAGTGAAAGATAAAAAACATTATCAAGCACTGCAATGGACAAAACAAATGATTGTCAAAATAATGAATTCTGATCTATTTTATTTCTGTTCGATGACTTACAAAAGATTGAAGAATCCCTACTTGACAAATTGATCGAAGAAAAAAACGCCAGGTACAGTCGTTGCCAGATAAATTGAGCCGGCAGCGGCGGCGCTTTTCATTAAGTGTAGCCCAAACTAGCCGCTGGTAGTGTGGTGCAAAGGTCTCACAGTTAGCTACGACGCGCGCAGTCACCAGTTCGAACCCGGCTTAGTGCAAAAAATTGTCTGCAGAATTTTCTGTACTCTCTCCCGTTCTGGTTGCCCTACACTGCTAAAAACAACTAACCTAACCCGGTGTGTTTTGACCGCGCAAGCACTTCAATCGTATTAACAATATTTGTTTATAATAATGCATATAGATGTTGTTATTATTTCATCATATTATTATTAATATTATATATTATTATTATATTAATTATATTATTTTACAATTTCTACTTTTTGTTCTTAAATAAAAAATTATTACCAGAATATATGATTTTAAATTAATATCGTAAAATATTTTTTGTAACAATAGTTGGTTTATTGATGTATTTTCAGTAATAATATTGAAATACGGAGAACCATTGGTTTTCCGTTATCGCGCCGCCGCCGCTGTCTCAATTTATCTGGCAACGACTGTATATCAATGTGGTTTATACTGAGGTTTTAGAATAATTGTTTTTAAATATTATCAGTAGGTAAGTTAAAAAAAACATGTATTCAAAAATTAAAATTAATTATAATTCAATATTATTTAAAACTATTTAGTCTTTTAAATCATTATTTTTATAAATGATTATTAAACAAAAGTGATATACACAAATAAAGCAATTTAAAATGTTTACGTAATAAACCTACACAAGGTCAAAACTAGATAATACAAATAGTTATATTAAAAAAATAAATTTCAGATCTATTATAAACTTAAGAATTTATTAAACTCATCAACAAAGTAATATTTTTAAAATAATTGTATGTAGAAAAAATGAGTAGATTTTAATAATAAAGAATAACATTAATTTAGAATTTGAATGGTTAAAAGTATTTACAATATAATCTTTATTGATCCTACATTATATATTTTTATAAATTTTATAAAAACCATTATAAATAAATAAGTTCCATCATCTCTGGGCTTATAACCTATGAAGCTATGATCAATATTTGTTGTTAATAAAAGATTATAAAAAAATATGAAATGGGACTTGAGCATATCGATTCTGTCAAAAACGTATAAATGTTATTCCAATTAAATGTTATACAATATTTCAGATAAAAAGTTACTGTAAATGTAAGTTACTATATCTTTAACAAAAATTCAGGTGATTGCTGCTCAATTTCAAAGCATAAAAATATGTTATTTACTTGAAAAATAATTTTTTATGATATAAATACATATTATAAATGTATACAATAATATTTAAGTATACATTAATTAGATATGCAACAATAAAGAAGTGATGGATTATAATTGTACAACCAGTGTACTAGTATATCAACTAAGAAAAAAAAAATAATTATAATACGCATATAGGTATTTGATTTCATATATGATTATACCTATATGATTATAAACAATATTTATCACCGCACATCCGTAAACGAGCATAAATATGAAATTATAATTTTATAATGACGAGGTCGAAGTGGAAGCATCTGTCTGTTGAGACTGATTTAGAAATGCAACATTGGATGCTTTCAGTCTGGCTGTATTTCCCTTAGAGATTAATGTTCCCGGATATGGAGATATGCTAGGCGTCGAACAGTGACTGTTACTCAAGTCGCATTGGTCTAACAATCGCAATAATTCTTCAGCCGTTGGGCCACCGTTCGGAATGGGTTCTGTCAAACAAATAACGAACATTATAATGAATATAAAAATAATAAATGAAATGGCAAAATTCAGATCTAAAACCACAAGAATCAGGCTAAGGTTAATTTATATAGCTTACACAAGAAAAAAAAGTAAAATTTGAAGTCAAACCATCTCTCATAGCGATGGAGGAATACCAAAATACAATCAAATTGGTTGAAAATAGCTTGTGTAATAATTAATAATAAGCAATTTAATTAATACCTTTGGTAGGTATACTCACGCAAATCTTTGTTAGCCAAGTCCAAAGCAGTAGTCAGGTCCCACATTTGAATAGTACCATTACAATGTCCAGTTAGTATAAATCGGCGAGGTCGGGATCCCATGCGGCTAGACCCCTCACACTCATGTACACAAAAACATGTAATTATTGTGCAATCCACGGCTCGAATTATGCAAACTCTAAAGTTAAATACACGAGTAAGTATAATAATTTATACGAATCCAATTACACCTATAAGATATTATTCTCAATGGTTTATTATTATACTGTATACAGCCAATAATACACTAATTTACCAATTTATCAACAAAACATGTCGATCAATTAATGTGGAATCAATGTAATAGAGCTTTATAATAATATCTGGATTTTTCAACTGGGATAGTCAATAAATTATTATTATATAAAAAATAAAGCAAGATAAAAGAGTTGTTACTAGAGCGATGTTCATAGTTTATAAGCAATATGCTAATATATTGTAATCAGATTTAGTATATCATAAAACCAGAACTTTAACTCATGGGGTATTTGATTCAATATTTCATCCTCTCAATACTTTTTTCAATATTAAATAATAACTAATAAAAATATTTTTAAAAATATTGTTTAAGTTCAAGAAACAAGTGATTGAATTTATTTTAATAAAATTTGTATATTAGACCTTATTAATTTATTAGTTTAATCTTAGGATAGTTTATCTAATGTTTAAGAATTAGCAAAATTAGATCAGAATAGTCTTAAAGTTTAAAATACGATGATTTATAGATTTACGAATAATGAAGAAATAATTTATAAAATTTTAATTAATACATATATTATATATACATCAAAAATCTCTAATTTAGTATTTTAAATGAAACTAGAGAAAAAAGACTAGTCATGTAGAATAGAAAACTACTGCAGATATACTCCTGAGTTTAAAACTCCAACTAATGTCTATCAAGTACCAGCTACTATATTACTATTATAGCATGTTAACAGTAAATATATAAGTTAATTTAATAGCATAGTTAAGAATAAAAAAACTTAATTAATACCGTAAAATGTTAATATATTCAATTTTTTTTTTTTTTCATTTAGTACATTAATATAAACAAATATACTATAAAAAATGAGTATAGTATACACAATACACAACATTTACATTAACCAAAATGTATGAACATATTTAAGAAAAGGATTTATTTTAGTAGAAATTAAGGAAATATTTAGAAAATTGATAATGAATTTTGACATTAAAAATAACACGAGTATTTATAATTAATTTAATAATCATCACTTTATGCAAAGTAGTCTACCGAAAATTTAAAAAATAAACATCACACTTAATGAGACCCAAATGCATATAGTATATGCCATAGTATTATGTAAACATTGAAAAAACATATGATTTTTGTTTTTTGTTACATTTTTATTCAAATAATGATAATTAATATATAAATTATTAAAAAATATATTTTTAGCAAATAAGAAATATTCGATAAAATTAATTTATGTAAATGGTGATATTTGTTTCAATAATCACATGAAATCCAGATTCTCAACTACCAACAGTAATAATAAGGATTTTTCGATATTCTTAAATAAAATTATAAGATTTATTTTTATTTTTATTTTTAAATATATTACTAGAAGAAACAACAAATTATTTTTAATTGTTGTATTCATTTAATGTTTTTGAAAATAATTATTTATAAACTAAAAAAAAAAAAAGAAAAATAATCATATACTTATGATCTGTAATTATATAAAATTTACGTTTAAATGTCAATTCTCTAATATTAAGACTTTAAATTCAATGAAATAACAAAAATTGATTTAGTTCACAACAGTTTTCTGGGATTACATTTTTTTTAAATGCATTTGGATTTTCTCATTAAATACTGGGAAACTTAATAAATCAATTCTCTAAAAATACCCTCAGTTAAATTTTCAGTCTATAAAACAAATAATCTTACCTTGTAATGATAACATTATAATAAAGATGTATAATAAAATATATATAAAAATGAAAGATTATTTAATTACCTCGAGTTATAAACTATTTTTTTCTTTCTTAGTACTTTCATTTTATTTAATATTTACATATATTTAAAAAAATAAAAGGTTTTACCTTTTGCCATTAGACGCAAGACGAACAAATAATTCTGAAGTTTCGGGCATAACTTTTTGAACAAAGACTTGCTCATCATCTTGCTCACCATATGGTCCTATAATAATAAAGAATATAATTTTAAATGATGTCTATATTATCAACTATAGGAGTAAATATAAATAAAACAATAAATAATAATAATAAATACATTATTTACCACAATCATTTCCAGCACAGTAGCTAATGCATGGTTCAACTTCTTCGAGAGACAGTATTTTAAACGAAGCTACTGGAGTAGATCCAGGTTGTGTAGAAATCATGCCTCTAAATCTAGTCACACTCCATGTCCTTACATGATTATATTCACTACATACAGATACGAGAAATTTCTCTGATAATGTTACCTATATGGCAGCATGAAATTATTCAAAAAAATCATAATGAATGCATATTTATTGTTTTTTCATAAATCTGTCAAAAAACAAACCTTAGTGACTGAACTTTGATGTACAGTGAATGTCTGAAACAGCTGAGGCCCATGTCCTACGGTTTCTGGATGTTGAACAATCACACGTACAGTTCCTGAACTCGTTCCATAAGCTATTTCAATCCAATTTCCACTTACACCTGAAACATATTTAATTATGGATTCAATTTTAAAATTAATTTAAATATAGCTATACCCAGGTTGTTTTTGATAATTTTTAATAATTGTTTTATTATTTTAAAATACAAAAATGTATAATTTTAGTTTAACTAAGTAATTATTGGCAAGACTGGGCATTAATAAATTAAAGTTAAAGTTAAGTTACTTTTGACTAAGTTACATAACAAATTTTTTTTTTTTTTATATAACTTCTTACTAATAAATTTCTGTTATTTTTTTTTTTTTATATAAAACCGATAAATTTAAAATACTATTTTATGTAAGAAAAATAATAATAATTATCTGAAATATCAAGTGTTATTTATAATGGTTTATTATTAGGTAGATATTTTAAATATGTTCTAAATTAATAATTATAGACTGATGAACTGTCTCATGGAATTCAATAAGTATCAAAATAATGTATATAAGGACAAGTACCTAATAACTGAATACAACTTACAAAATATGAATAGATGTATGTGAAATGGCTTATGAATAAGTAAATACTGTATAATAATAATAATAATAATAATAATTTATTTATTGTTATAAAAATCAATAAATAACAAACACCCCAAGTGGTAGGAGTACAGTAATATTTATAAGAAAATAAGTATTAATTAATAAATTAAAATATACATTAATTATTTAAATTATAAATACAAGTTTTTAGTGTTGTGCAAGAATCGAAAACAAAAAATTTTATTTGATTGCACATCGATGGTAGGTGACACACCAGACTATAAGTGAAGTAATTTTGTTTTGATTGAGGTTTAAAAAAAGGAGGATTACACTAGGATTATTCTCGTATCTAGAATTGAAGAAGGGTATTTTAAGACCAATTTTATGTAATAATTCAGGACAGTCTATTTCTCCATTCAACAATTTATAAAACTGGCATCAAAAACTAACTTTCTAGTTTTTAAAGACTTTAAATTAGTAAAGTTTGCAATCACATCCGTGTTATGGTTAAATAACTTTGTTGTATAAGCATAAAAATGAAGAAAGTTTCTTTGGATCTTTTCTAGTTTATTAATTAAATGCATTTGATTAGGATTCCATAATGTTGTACCGAATTCGAAATATTACACAATTTATTGGAACTAAGCAGTGCCAACCCCCTTGTTTATTTGTATTTACTTAACAATAATAAATTCAAAATTTAATATTTAAAAAAGTGAATATAATACAATTTGTTTTAAGAATTTTAAATTATAATAATCATTTTTTTCTAACAAATAAATTAAATTAATAATTCATTAAATATTTAAAAAAAACTTCATTGATTTTCATACTAAAAATTAGATCAATCTGTAGAATCATGTAAATAAGATCCAAAATTGCATAGGAAAAGTTAGCTTCCATGAATAAGAAACATTTTTTATGCTCTAATAGTATTTAAGTATTAAAGTATTATTAAAGTAGTATTAAAGTGAGGAAATGCTTTACAAAATTATATGTATGGTGCTATTCAGCTGCGAAACCTAGATACTAAAAAGGGTAGTATAATGAATCCTTTAAAGCTTTGAAATGTGGTGTTAGAGAAGAATGCTGTGAATGTGTTGAATAGAATACTATACTAACGAAAACCAGCGAAATAAATTAATGCATAAAATGAACTCAAAACCATCAAAGCAAAACGATGGACCATGATTGGTCACATATTGAGGCACAAAAAATGAACTAGTTTATATAATAATAAAGCATAAATGGTTCTTAGAAAGAATATATTTTCATATAAAGTAACAGAATGTCTATATTAATTGCTCAGATAATAAAACTGATCTTAATATTGAATTCTACAAAAATAGTTCTATATCAATGCAAAATAATTAGTTGTTAAGAATTTAAAATGATTAATATTTTGTTAAAAAATAAATGGAACACAAATTGTAGATACAAATTGTTTATTTTTAATAGTTTTACTTTTCAATAAAAGACAAGTGAAAGTATAGGAACGTTCATATCAGTTGGCAAGATAGATAAATTTCTTTGCGTGTGCATTAGTGTGTTTTTTTAATGCACTTCATATTATTATTTTTAAATTCACTAGTAGACTAAAGGTCATTTAAATATTTTACATAACATTTAGTAATAAAATAATTTTAGGGACACTTACAATATTTCAAGGGAGTTTAAACACACATTATGATTATGTCTAGCTTTTAATCAAGATTTAAGTAGAATATAATGATGGGAGGAAGTGCTAAGTATTAATAATTAGAATAAGTAAATGAAACTTTCAAAATTTATTTAACTGAATTTATAATTTATATAAATGAATAGACAAATATTACTAAATAAACCATCTTAAATACTTTTACCTTCTTAAAAAGTGCTTTCCAAAATAAAAACCCTACACAGTGTATAACTTAAAATTAAGTATATAGATAAATATATTATATATTGCATATACTCTTGCAATATTATAAAAAATGTATGTTTATTTAATGCATTTTAGGAAGAATAAAAATATAAATACTAAAAGCAGGCTGATATCTCCTCAAAATAGTAATTTAATATAATTTTTATAATATTTAACTATATACTATAATTAATTAAATATTAAATTAAATTAACAGTATTTTAGGGACTTACTTGTTTTAGGAGTTAAATAAACAGAAATTGACGTAATTGGATCATGAGAAGGATCTTTATACAGTTCTGTAACTAGTAAATCATTATCTTTCATTCGCAAAGGAAACTTTTGCATATCTAAAAAAAATATTTAATTATAATTTATACTTCAACTCATACATAATTATTGTAAATATAGATATTTTACCAATATAATATATTGATCCATTATTACAACCCAGAAGTAAAAATGAACCAGCTGTATCAAATGATGCGATTGGTACAACATCTTGAGTTTGCCAATGTTGAGTCATTGCATGCCAAACTCCTATTTTACCAGTAGGTGATAATGCAACAAGTTGACTACCAATAAAAAATAAATGTTCAACACGAACATTCAAATTGAATGTACCTAGAAATATAAAGTAATAATTTTTAAATCTAAATATTAATTGATACTGAAAAATATCCAAATCATTATCATATTACAAAAAATACTATTATAATAAAAAACTATAGTAACAATATTTTTTAATATTACTTAAGTATTACCTATGTTGGTTCGAGATCCCTGTTCTGAAACACCCCAAAGACGTACTTGATTTCCATATGATATAGCTACCATAACAGAAGAACCATCTGAATTACCACTCTGGCTATTCATTTTAGCATTAATAGCTATTCGTTCTATACAATTATCTATATGTGGTGATGTGAAAACTTGTTGCCAACCACTTGAATCTTTTAATCTGTTATATTAAACAATAATCAATTCATAATATAACTAAAGATATACTTATTAATTTATCATACCTCAATTTTACGAAAGAAATACCATACAAAAAATATTATTAGTATCAAATAAGAATAGATTATACTCCTAATTTATTATCTTAGTATATTACATTATAGTATTGAACTATATGAAATTCATGTTAAAATTTAAATAAAATTTAATTTGATTCAGTTTTGAACAAAATAAATATGATACAAAAAGTAATTAATCTAATTTTTATTATTGGATAACTAATTTAAATGTTAAGAATATGAAGCAATTTTTATATGTTATAATCTTTTAATAAAATGGCTTATTTTATTTAATTGGTAATTTTTACTTCTTTTAAGAGAAAAATTTAATTGCATAGTTCATGAAATGAGCAGTGATAAAATATAAAATGTTTTTATGAGGTAATAGTATAAAAGTTGTAATTTACCTATAACATATAATAAAGTGTGCATAAGCAACTACAATCCAATTATGATGAGCTTTGATGATTTGGACACGCAATGGATCAGCCCAATTAGAACCTTGATTATAACCAAAAACCAAGTTTAATGCATCATTTCTTATATACTTATTGAGATCAGCTGATGAATTTCTGGAATGGTGATTCGGTACATGGTTACCAAGTGATGCTGCTCGAGAATGTCCACTATTACCATTACTACGCCCATTAATGACTGATCCACGGCCATTTACAGTGACCCGTGAAATATCCAATGATGAATTACGAGAATGACAACGACTAAAAATGTTTATCAATATTTTGTATCAATGCATTAGATATCTCTTATTTTTTTATTTTTACATTATAAAATACTAAATAGCAAAGGGCAAATGATAAGCTAATTCATAAAGTACTAATCAATAAACCTAAAAGAAAGAGGCTAAGAAGAAGGCCCCATCAGGGATGGCTCGATAGAATAAACAAAGATCTGGAAAGCTTGGGAATGAAAAAAATTTAGGATGCAGATGATCAGAAATTGTGGGAGGATATGTTAAAAGCGGCAAAAGGCCTTCATGGCCTGTAAACGAAAAAAAATTAAAAAAAAAATACTAAATAGTATCAACCTTTGATAACCATGAGTATGAGGTATTGATGAAGGAGAATTTGGTGGTGGAGCTGGTTCAGGGACACGGACAATTGAACCAGGCCGTGTTTGATCATCAACTTTAGCAGCATTACTGATTGTCTCGGACTCTTGCATAGGAGGATCTAAAAACACTTATTATTAAACATTAATAGAAGAAATAATTATATAAACTAAAATATCTTTATATAATTATATATTTTTGCTGTACAATTAAAAAAGGAAATATTTTAGTTAAAATTAACAAAAAAATTAAAATCTTCCAAATAAAATATTAATACGAGTATTTATAAACAATAAAATATTTATTGAAATAAATTGTTACTTTTCAAACATATTGATAAAGAACTATTATAATTACAACCATTTCAACAACAGTTCTTAACCTTTTTTTTTGCACGCAGGACATCAATAAAATTTATCTTTAGTAATAATAGAATTGCAGGCCCCTGACAAGAAAGTCATGGATCCCCAAAAAACGGTTAAGAATAACCAGAAATAAATATGAATAATTTGACTAACAGAATATGTATAGGGCACATTTAAAAGTTTATTATACATATAAAGGCAAATTTAATTAATTAAAAGGAATTTTAAATTAAAATAATTTTGATTTATTTATTATTTAATTTTTGAATAAAATGTTAAAAGAATAGCTTAGTATATTTTTGTACATAAATGCACAAATTATAAGCATTTTAAGAGTTTGAAAATAAATTATTATTAGTATATCTAAATATTTTTATTTTTTAACTGTTGTATAGAAGTACATTAAATAAGCTTAACAGATAAATTAGTTATTACGGAGAGAGAAAAAATTAATATAAAATGAAATAAAGAATGAAAATATTTTGTGTACATATAGCCGCGTTCACACTAGCGTAACAAAACGACGAATGGTTTGATGAATTGTTCGTCAAACGGTTTGCCGAACAACTAAAAAATATGTGTGTATGTTCGCGTATAGCTAAACTTAAATAGTGATTATAAATAATAATAGTTTAATTTTGTGTGTTCGTAAAAATGTTTGAAGACGTGTCCATACATGTCGTAACATGTTCGCGTAACATCCTTTGATGTTACGTCGAAATACACCGACAACTGACGTATCGCCGATTTGTTCGATGGAATGTTAAGTGTACACACTAGAACATTTGGGTATAACGCCGTAATGTAACTGTAATGCTCAAGTGTATACGGTGTGTTACTGTAACATTCGTGCGTGCTCGGCTCGCGACACCGTCGATCCATCAGACTGTCGGTATTTTGACAAACATCAAAGGAATGTTACATTACGACACGATCCTAGTGTGTACAATAACCAGTTGCTCGCAGCGAATCGCCCTGATCGCTAACGCTGCAGTATTTATCCGTATAAATTTAAAAAATGGATTGGAACAACGAAAAGGTCTTGGACCTTATTGAGTGCTACAAAAATAAATCGATACTATGGTCCCCAAAATACCCAAAGCATTACAATAAATTTGCAAAATCCGATGCGTGGGAAGAGTTGGCCACAGTAATGAAAACGACATCAGATGAATGTAGGAAAAAAATAACCAGCATTAATACATTATTTCGACAATTGACGACATTCTAATGATGTTTCTGTACTGTCCACTTATTACCTGTTCCTAAAGACAATTTAATAAATCTACATATATCCCTTAACTTCATTAAATTTGTTTGCCACAATCTTCTTTCGCTTTTTTTTTTTTATTTTTTCGTTTTTTTAAAATATAATTAATTAAAATAAATGATGCGCTAGCGACTTATAAATTTTTATCAGAAGATATTGCACACGATGTGAACTAACTCGAGAACAAATTGTGAATAACTGATAGATATACCGGCAAACAACCAAATCCTCAGTAGCACTCGCTCTATCGTACACACTGGTCATATAACATTGTAACATTCAGACAAGCACGAACTCTGTTACATTACACCCAAATGCTCCAGTGTGTACCCACCTTTACAAGTTCACCCATTTGTTATACACGAATTTTGTTCGCTAATATAGACGCGGCTTAATAAATTGAATGTTAATTATCTTTAAATCACGTTTGAGAATACTAAATGGGTTAATAGTAAAAAAAAAATTAACTGTATAACCTATTATTACTAATATTGCAGTATGACTTAACTAGAAATCTTTGTTTTGAGACTGCTTAGCCAAAAAAAGTAACATAGGAGGTCCATTTAAAAAAGATAGGATAATCTGGTTGTATAGTACAGATTATCTATTGAACTATGAGAATTAAACTTACATTTTTATAAATTATTAAATTTAATTAAAATATTAAACATATATTATAATAATACGCTTACTTGGAGCTGGTAACATGCTATAAAATAAAATGTCTCCACATGATGACTGATCTAGATCTTCACATAAAATAAGCCGCTTGGCAAGTGGCATAATACCATAAAATTCAGCTTCATGACGAAGTGTTCTAATATCAGTGCCAGACAAATCAATGTCATGAGTTCTAAGATAATTCAAAATGATGGCAAAAACTTTAGGATCACGATCTATGAATATAGCTCCTGTATCATCTCGTAAGCTAGAAATACGGCCGCTTAATAAAGCCGTAAAGAAGGAATCAGGTACCCAAGTTAATGTTTGCCGTGAAGTAGAAAACCTTAAAATAAAATTTTACTTCATTCATATTTATTTTAAGAACTTGCTACTTAAAACTTTTTTATTATAGGAACTATTTGATCATGCGGAAAGCTAAAACAGTAAGTAAATTGGGTCAGTAAGGTTTATCATATATTAAAGTTCTATGTTAGAACCAATTAATTAAAACCAAAAATTGAACAGAGAAAATTACGTTAAATTGAAAAACTTTATACTTATAGATTGCTTACTTCATCTACCACATAATCTAACACACTATATTTTTAAGTTTATGAAGCCTTAAAAATAGCAACATAATATTTTCTAGTCAAATTATTTAACTAACTTCACCCATAGTTATTAGGTAATGCAAAAACATTTGAAAACTATTTTAAATTTTCCATAAAGTCTCCCTTAAATTAATTTGTTTACACTTTCATTCAATTAAATTTCTCAAAATTGAATAAAATAATTATAAAATTATATATATAAGCTTTTATATACATTTTTGTAAAATTGAATTAAAAAGTTAAAGTTAACAATCATTAATCTTAACTAAATTCATGTTCTTAAAAACACAATTACATAAAGAGATAAATTGATAAGTTAGAAATTGAACAAATTTAAATTATAATGTTGTGTGTATAACAAAAAATACATAGACAATGTTAAATGCTAAATATTATACTAAATGTCAAAGTTAAAAAGTACAATTATCTGAGTATTTGAAATTAATTAAAAGTGCATAGAAAATGTTGCATCAGTTATTGCAGACTTTAAACAAAATGTATACTTTATAATTAAACTGAAAATAATTTTAATTTAATTTAAAAAAATTATACAGTCAATAATTAATAAATAATAATTAATAATAGTCAATCAATAATTAGGTTATTGTTATCTCTGAAGCTTGAGTTATTATTTATGGACTATACTTTAAAATAATCAAGGTATAATAAATACTGATTAATCCTATACATCTGTAGCCACAATTATAAACAGATTTATTTAAATATTATCAAAAAATCAATATTATTCCTTACCTTGTACCACCAACGTTGAGATGCATAATTTCACCATTATGCGGGGGTAACATAGTTCATTGGTTTTTTTAAATGCTGTAGACTCAAATATTTTATCAGTGTCTAGTTTAATATAAAAACGCAACAGACTCAATTTATAAAATACAATTTTTTCAATTATTCTTCCACGATATAAGTAATGAACACTAAAATTTTCTAACAATCTAATAAAAAAAAGTCAATTAAAATGACATACTTAATTAAAATGTGTTGTTATTTTTTTGTCGAAATTTATACGAAATTATGTGCTAACATATTTTCGTAAACATGGATTTTGAATAAAAATTTACTTCACGACTCACAAATTAATAACATGATACAAAGTAGATAGTTAATATTTTGTTATGTATTATGTTATTGTGTGTTATCTTTAAGTCGTAATGATAATATATTCATACAATTCTGTGATAAAAACATTATAAATCCGGAACCATCTCTTTGATAAACCGCTATCTTTAGTTTAGTAATATTTACAATAATATTTTGATAATCGAATACATTTTAGTTTAAATAAACCATTTTTAACTTTTTTTTTTGTATACGTTTTGAAATTTTGAAATAAACGTTCTTTCTAGGAAAAATGCAAAAATACGAAAAACTTGATAAAATCGGAGAGGGTAAGCTTTTCCTGAACTGCTACCGTTTAGCAACATGGAGTTTGTAACGATAATATTTTTAATGGTCATTAACAGGAACTTACGGTACGGTCTTTAAAGCCAAAAATCGGGAAACCCTTGAGATTGTTGCTTTGAAACGCGTAAGACTTGATGATGATGATGAGGTACTTATGTTTATTTATTATGTCTCAACAGTTTTTAAGCTGTATACTTTTCTAGGGAGTTCCTTCATCAGCTCTACGCGAAATCTGTTTACTGAAAGAGTTGAAACATAAAAATATTGTACGCCTTTATGATGTACTTCATAGTGATAAAAAATTGGTACTTGTTTTTGAACACTGTGATCAAGACTTAAAAAAATATTTTGACAGTTTAAATGGAGAAATAGATCCAAATGTTGTGAAATCATTCATGTACTTAGCTATTATCACAACTGTTTTTTTTTTTTTTAGTATTGGATTAATTTAATTTTTGATTAACTATTAATGACTCTAGGTATCAACTATTGCGGGGATTAGCCTTTTGCCATTGCCATAATGTTTTACATCGGGATCTTAAACCTCAAAATCTTCTCATAAATAAGGTTAGATATTACATTTAAGATGTTTATAATTTTATTTTATATTTATATATTATTATAAATCCATCATGTTTATAACAAATTATTATTAATATGATATAGAATGGAGAATTAAAACTAGCTGATTTTGGTCTTGCTAGAGCATTTGGTATACCGGTAAAATGTTATTCAGCAGAAGTAGTTACTTTATGGTACAGACCTCCTGATGTCTTATTTGGTGCAAAACTTTATACAACATCTATTGACATGTGGTCTGCTGGGTGTATATTTGCTGGTATATTTGTTTACAAATCTATATATTTTTTTTTCCACTAAGATTAATTTAATTTCCATTATTTAGAACTAGCTAATGCCGGACGACCATTGTTTCCTGGTTCAGATGTCGATGATCAACTAAAAAGAATTTTCAAACTATTGGGAACACCTACTGATGAAACATGGCCAAATATGACAGCTCTGCCAGATTATAAACCAATTCCAATGTATCAACCTAATATGACACTAGTACAAGTTAGTCATCAACTTAATATGACAATTTACATGAGTACTATCATTTTTAATTTACTTTATAAATCTAGGTGGTGCCCAAATCAACAACCAAAATGCGAGATTTGTTACAAAGACTCCTTGTATGCAATCCTTCCCATAGAATATCAGCTGAGCAAGCAATGAGCCACATATACTTTGCAGACATTAATTTGTTACCTAAATAGTTAAATGATCTAATAGTTATTATGTTATATAATCATTCTTTTATTTTGAAATTCAGAATTCTACTGTATATGAAACAAACATTATTGAACATATGTGCAATTTAGCAATTAAAATTAATCTAAAATAAAGTAAGCCCTCCCACCAAATTTTATTTTAAGAGCTTAATTTTTATATTTAATTACATTTTTATTCCTATTCTATTAAGTTAATTATACATTTAATTAGACTAAATAAATATATTTTTATCAATTTATTTATATAAAAGAAATCATATTATTAAGTTTATAATTTTTAGTTAATTTTTGAAACTATACTTAGCTTAATTCTTATTTTATTATTAATCTTGCATACTTTACTCTTGCATGTGTTCCATTTCTAGTATGTATTATAACTTTTGAATCTCAATTGTACAATAGTAAAATTTAACCAATTGACCATCAAAAATAACTAATTGTGTGAATAATTTTAACTATAAATATGTCTTAATGTACTTAATTCATAGTTGCTATTATATTAAATTAAGTAGGCAACTTTTTATTTTTAATAGAAAAATATATGATTAAAATAATTGTTTTTATTAACCAAATAAAATATTACTCAATTTGTTATAAAATACCATTGATTAAGTATACAATATATATATATATATATATATATATATATATATATATATTGTATACTTAATCAATGAAAATACTGTGTAAGAAGGTTGAAAATATTAAAATTGTATAAAAAAAATAAAATAAAAATTCTTCAGTCATAATATGTTACACAATTACTTTTAACTATACAAATATAAAGTTAAATGTTATAACACCTTTGTTTAATATTTAAAAAACAGTATTTTATTAACAATGGTTGGAGTAGACAACATAATACCAAATTTCATACTACAAATAAATGGACTATGTGAAATTTTTATTGTCATAATGAATTTTAGAAAATTAAAAAGATAGAAATGTTATCTTAAAATTAAATAATATCTTCTCCAACTTAAATACCTAAAATAAAAACTAATATAATAGAACAAGATCTTTTATTTCAAAAAAACATATATTATTAAATACAAAATATGTTAACATTATGTAAATATTATCTATAGTTAAACATATATTTTATAAATAACTGAATTTTAATATAATACAAATTGACAAATCTAAAATTATCATAGTTCAATTAAATCAATTTCAACTAGAAGAAACCTAGAATAAACTCATTGAATTTTGTATTATTCATAAAAATGCATGATTTAACCACTAAAAATATTTCATATGTACATAAAATTAATGAACAATAAATGGTTAATTCGATTGTATATAAATATTCGTATTAATCTATTTTTTTTTTTTAATCCAGAACAAAGTATTAAAATAGGATTCTGATTAAGTTATGATTCAATTATTTATACTTTCAGTTAAAAAATCAAATGAATGTCAGAAAAGAAAATATAAGTATTTTGATTCAGTAAGTTTCTAAGTGTTCACTTTAGTTAGATCAAACATAAATATTTAGCAAAAGTCTTATTTTAAATTACAACTATTATTTTTGATCTAATCTAGACTATATAGCAAAAAAAAAAAAAAAAAATACATACTTGTATGAAAATAAATAAATTATTATTATGAAAACTAAAACTATTAATTACCATCCAGTATAAACCAAATAGTCATTTTTTTTTGTGTACTTTTTAATAAATTGTTTGCCTGCACGTGTAGGTACAGTAAATGCTATTTCATCAAGAGTGAGTACATGTCCATATGCATAATTTTTACTAAAATAATAGTAATATATAATAACTATGATTTAATAAGAAATTTTAATAAAAATATCTTACCGGAAAGAGTCAAGTAATCTTGTTGCAATTCCATTTCCACGACTATCCCACTTTGTCCATATACGGTTGACACCTACCTTAACAGGATATGATTCCTCAGAAATAATAACCATGTCTTCAGTCTCCGTTTCTAAATTACGATAAGCCAAGGATATTAACTCCACAACTAGACATCCAATCACTTGTTTTTCTTTTATATACAAATAAACCTAAAATTAATAAATTTATATTTTTTAATAGCAAGTTAATATTGTTATCACAAAAACCTACCTTTTTAGTAGAGGGTAAAATTGAAGTTTGTGTGTTAAAGCCAAGTTCTTGATCAACAAATGACATAACTTCTATTGCTTTAGAACATATAACTTTAGGATCTGAACTAGATATCACAATAATGCGTTCAAATAAATCTTGATAAACTACTTTCTCATTTTTAAAGCTCTACATATATTAAGTTTAAGTTAGAAAATGAAAAAATTTAATTAAACCAACATACATTATACTTAAAAATTTCTTTAGCTAAATGGTATTTGTCATGTTCTGCTTCATCTTCTGGTTCACCTCTAGAATAATAAAGACCACATTGCTTGCACAAAAAACCACCAAACTTTTTTTGTCCTGCATCAATTTGGTATTGAGCAGTATCCATAAACCTTTTAACTTTTCGCTCCGTAGATTTTTTAGTAAAATTACTAGTAAAAAAATAAAATTACTAATATTTATAATGGTAATTAAATTATTGTATTATAATTACGGAATAAGATGACTAGGTGAAGGTGAAGGTGTTGGGTTAGTGAAAATTGAAAATAACTTTGATTGCGATTCATTAGGAACGTTTGAAGCATTTGAAGGGTTTACTGATTTATCAATGACCATATTATTGGATTCAACTGTATTTGACGAACTAAAAACAAATATTAATTAATTAATTAATTTTGTATATCCATTCTATTTTAATGTAAAATCTCATACAACTTACTTTTTAGGATGAGTGGCTGGTGATGAATTAGCTGAACAACATTGGTTTTCAGCAAAGTTTTCATCAAAATCATAAGCATCTTTAATTAGATCAGGCATTTGAGATCTTAAAACATGATTATGGTTTTGTACATCAATCTTCATACGTTTCGATGCCATTGGCGTATATGACTCTATATTTAGATAAAATATTTTTGAAAATAATTAAATTTTAATTTAAATATAAGCACAAAAAAAGCTATAGTATAGGCATTAATTATTTAGTAAACAGAATATTGATTACAATTTTTAAATAATTTACCATTATCTTCATTTTCTCTCTTTACAGACATTGATGTCAAACCAGGATATCGTATAGCAGTTGAAGGACTATCATCATCTTCATTATCATCTAATAGCTCAATTAATTCTTTAATTTCTTTTCCAATATGTTTAATGACATCATCTTCAAGTATTTCTGTTGTATTAAAATCTTGTTCATCAGTTTTAAACTCTGTTTTTAAGTTGTCGCTCATTATATTTTTGTCAACCCAATTCACAACTTTAAAATTAAAATTATTTTCTTTCCTGAAAGAGAAAAAATATTTAATACCAAAAAAAATATATAAAGTAAAGAGTTATAACTTATTAATATCAAAATAAATAAGCTTACTTATTTATAGAATCAATTTGCATAACTTTAGATTTGAAAAATTTTCTGTTATCAGGTATTTCGATCTTTATACGTTCTGGTTTTTTTTGTTTAATGTATTCGGTCCAATCATTTTTTTTTAAAGATGGTTTTGAAAAATTAAAATTGTTATCATTTACATTATTTTCGATTGAATTATCATTTTTTTTACTTATTTCAGTTGTTTCAAACAATTTTTTAGCAGTTGATTTCTTTTTATGAGGTAATAAAGTACCAGGGAACAAATTTGTTACAGTTTTCTGTTCTTGACTAGTTGACCTCGATCTTTTCTTACTCGTTGATTTGCCATCTTTAAATAGTTTAGCTTTTACCTTTGGATTAAAATTTAAGCGAGTAAATCTTTTTACACGAAGATCTTCTAATGATAACTGAATAAACAAGTAAAATAATGAAAATTAATTAAAATATAAAATAATACATTAATCTTAATAATTTTAAATAAACAATTTTGGAAGGTATAATTTTAGAATAATTAATTTTTTAAAATAATAGATTATAATAATAAAAATAAATTAATCAAATAAATCAAATAAAAATTGCATTGATTATGAATAATCATGTAATGATCAAATATTTATTTTCAAATCAACTTTTAAATGTATCTGAAAATATAATTATATTAATATTAGGAATATTTTTTTAATAATAAATATAATATTTTTGTATAAGTTTCAATCATAGCAGATTTTAAATGTTATGTTAAGCAAAATATGTCGAAGATTCAAACTATTCAATTAATTTTTTTTTAAAAAAAAAAAAAAAGTATTTCCTTTAGACCAGTTGACTCTAAATTACCAACAGGCCATGTACTTATACATTACAGGTTTATAGGCCAATATTTAAATAGATCTTTATTTTCCATAAATTAATAATATAACATTAAAATATTAAAATTAAAATAAACGATAATAAAAAAATTGTATTAAAATGTTTAATATTTTTGAATAAAATACAATTTTTCTAACATTTTTATAATAGACCTTATTGAAAGTTCAAGAACTGCATGATTAAGGGATTACTTTACTATATTAAGATTATCTAATACGCTTACTTGATTCCCTCCATAAAAAGATGAAGTTTTAACTGCAATCTCAGTCTTATTATTTTTCGTTGAATTAAAATTAAAACTTTTTTTTGAAGGGGTCTTAGCTTCTTTGTTAGTTTCTGATTCAATTGGTGTTGTGTTAAAATGTTTAACTCGTCTAGAGTTAGGAGTTTCTTCAATGACAATTGTAGCAGAACGTACAATTCCATCCTTTGTTTCTGACATAAGTCTTTCAAATTTATCACTCATAGTAGGACTTAATTCAGTGACTGGAGTACAATTCATTTTAAAAGAGTTTTCAGGAGAAGCTAGACCAGGATTATATACTTCAGGAGATGACTGAAGAGGTCTGATGTCAAGACTATCTTCATCCCAATTATCAACTGGAAATAATTCCCGTTTTCGATCATGTAAAAATGGTGAAGGTTCATTTTTATGTAAACGAAGAGACTTGCGAGGAGTTGTATAAAAAGGCATGTCTAACCTGAAACAAAATTTTAATAGGTAGTACTAATTATGAATAAATATGAATTACTCATTATTACCATTATGATTGATTACCACAATAATATTCATCTTTGCTTTACTCAGTATTTGCATGCAAGTAGTTTCTAATAATTAAATATAGATACCTACCTACTCGTAAAATTAATAAATTAAAAATACTTCATTTATTAAAATTATAATAATAATAACAATCAAGTACAACATTTCATGATTCTAATTTGAATTATAAAAATATTAAAAAAAAAAACTAATAATATTTTGAGGGTATTATAAATTATTTACCCATTATTCTGTATAGGTATAATCTTCTTGAGTCACCAATTGTTTTAAGTGAAGTTGCCTACATTTTTTTTTCTGGGTAGGGGAGAGATCTAGTCTTCCAGTATATTGTTAAAAAAAGGTAATTATATTTTAATTTTAAATTATTAAAAAGTTTTGTTTGTGAAAATATATCACCAATAAAAAAAAAAAATGATATTCGAGATATCGTCCTTTATACAAAGTATGTGTAATTTAGAAAAACAATACTGCATTTAGGGAGGTCTAAGCCGCATATGTGCAATTTATGCCAACAGTTTAAAATAGTGCTAGATTATATATTTTTTATTATAATACAATTTTAAAATAAATTCTAAATAAATTATATGTTTAACAAGCCCCAATAAATTATTGGAAATAAGCAAATTCAAAAAGAAAATGACAAATATTTATACTATTAAAAAATATATACAGTAGACACCATAAATCGATAGATATTAGATTACAGGACTGCCAGATAAACAAAAATGCCGGATTAATAGAGTTTCACATAAAAACTAATTTTTAGGTATAGAAAAACTTTATTTTATTAAATCTTATAAATAATACATACATACTTATTTATGACATACATTGAATTCATCTTCTGATTGTTCAGATTTAAAAAAAGTTATCTATTTATTTTTGTTTTTTGTTTTAAATCATGCTTTTAACATTTTAAAATACTCCTGTATTATTGAACGGACCAGATTACCAAGAAACTATTATACTACAAAAAAAATAATTTGCTTATTTTAAACATTTGGAGACAACCAAACATATTACCTAGTCAAAACTAAAATAAAAAATAATATAATACAAATGGAGTAAATATAAATGACAAAACACAATTTAAAATAATTTTAAAGGTAATTGTATACATAGAAAAAATGTTTCATGCATACTAAATTATAAAAAATATCATATTTCATAGGAATTTCATGATAATTTATTAAAAAACATTAAAGAAAAAACCCACGATAAATTAATAAATAATCACTAAAAACGATCAGTTTTAATGAACATCAATATCCAGTAAATAAATCAAATAAAAATGAATTACTGTACACATGAAACTACGTAATGCATATGTATACAGTCAAGATTCTTTACTTTAATGTCTAGATTTAAAACTATTACTCGATTAAACAGATGATTACAATTAGTTCATACGATTCTTAGATAAAAGTTAAACATAAATAAAGTACAAATAAATAGCAACATAGTAATATATTAATAAATAGTAACAAATACTCACGTTGAAACAGATCTCAGCATGTGTAATTGTTATTGGGATAAATAACTCAACTGCGTACGGCAGAATAAGAAAATATGCTTACCGTCAACAGCATTTAAACAACAGAATTTAAATATATCAGAGGTTTAGATAAGTGTTATTAAGAAATCACTAAGTCCACTCTTAAATCATACTCGATCAATTGTCCACATAAGATATTTAAAAAAAAATGAGCAGTAAAAATTTTATAATCGCAATAAAATATAACAACCCGAACGTGAAACATTAGATAGTATATACCTAACCATTGTTTTTTTTTGGAGGGAAACGTCCATCATTTTTCGGAGAAACGACCGTTTGGGAATTCCTATCACCGTTACATTATCACACTTATTTCAAACTAGATTGGTTGATAACATCATTGGTTATATAATATATTACAAAAATTAAATTGCTGAAAACGTTTTACATCACTTCAAACCATAGTACATTCATAATACTACAATAATAATAAAAAAATAATTTGAAAGGCTTCAACCATTTGTGAGGTTGAAATTCGGAAGCTCTTAGTATGGTATGTTCATTAAGCGTAGTATAAGATATAAAAATATATATCATTGGTCCTCAATTATTAGTTCAATATTTACATTACTGAGAATTGGCATTTATTAATATCAAAATTCTTTATTATTTATCAAAATTTGTATTGCTAAAAATTGAATATTTGATGTACAGTATTTTAATTAATTGGATAGCTTAAATTTTTTTTTCTTTTAATTGAAGAATTTAATAAAGTATATGCAAAATATGAATAAAAATTAATTATGAAAACATGCTTAGAAATTACAATAAAATGAATGACAAATTTAGAAGTCGCTCTAAAGTGACCCTCGCAATTTAAAATGGTGGACTAGAATAGGTCTTAAGGTAAGGTTTTTTTATTTTTTATATGGTATCGACAACGGCCCAGGTACTGTTTTACACATTACTTCAGGACCACCACCATCGTTAATTGTTTGAAAAATATATAGTACAAAAAATGACAATCGCTTTGTTTTGCGCCTTACAGGTTAATAGGGGCCTCCTACCTCCCTAGGTTGATCTTCGACTCACATTTTTTCATAACTAAGTGGCTCTGCAGGGCTTGCCGCTTCTTGATCTCCAGTATACACCACATGTACCGCTCCACGGAAAGTGGTTGAACTGGAGCTTCTCCTTTTCACAAAGGACGCATCTTGGTGGTGAGTTACAGTTCCTTGATCGGTGACCACCCTCAACGCAGGTCAAGCAAAATCCACTTAGGTCCTTTTCCTTGTATCCAGCTGCATTGTGACCAAAGCCATGACAGTGGAAACATCGCGCCTTCTGTTCTTTGATGCGTATTCGACACATCACGAAGCCCACTTTCAGCCTCTCCTCCTTTAAAAAATCAAGGACAGCAGCACCAGAGATGGACACCACTGCCCTTTTAGTATCCCTGTAAGATACGACAAGTCTTCTTATTTCAAACTCCTCATTGGAAAATCCCTCTTGAATTAATGATGAAGCCACATCATCGGCTTCATGAATGCAGCTCACATCCAACATCTCCAATATCACCGGTTTGGGTACGCTCCTCACACATGCAGTGCAACCCACTATTTCTTTGACCGTTGCTTGAAGCCTAGCAACTGCGCTGGTGGTTGTTATAACCGTTTTTTTAAGCTTCATTATTTTATACTCCAGCTCGTCGCAGTAGCTGAAAGGACCAAGGTCGTATTTCGCTGCTATTTCCTTCAGTTGTTTTTCCGCATCACTAGTTGATGTTAGAGTAGCGGAGGCCTGGCTGGCCACCCTCACACCATTGCACTAGAATAAGTCTTAAGGTAGGGTTACCATATTATATTTGGCGAAAATCGGTACAAATTTTTTTTTTTTTTCATTTATCTTATTAATAATTACTTTTTATTGATTTTTTGATTATACAATTATAATTATTACAAAAATATATTTATTTATTAATTATTTACTTTTGTGCGGTGGCGTAGTGTGAAACTTGGTAACCATAGATCCTATAAAATACGGAGGCCCTCTTTAATACAGAAATAAATATTATCATATAAATATTAATTATTGTAGTCTATTTGGGAGCTAAAAAAAATCGTTATACAATATATAAATATATATATATTATTTTAATTTATAAAATAATGACAGTGTTATAAACAAGGCCGGATTAAGTATCTATTAGGTTTCGGGGCTGAAATTTTATATGGACCGTTTTGACAAAACATTCTTCACAAAGATGCTCACTACGCTCGCAGAACGATACTTTTTTTTAAACTATTTCACAGATTGTCAATTGCTTTATAAAATTATAAAATTAATAAGTATATACAATATATATCTATAAAACTTTAAATTTTAGTATGATAAAAAAATGTGTATCGGCTTAAAATTTTTTGAGCCCCTTTTACTTGGGTACTCGAGAGGGTCCCGGGGCTGCCACCCCGGCTAAATTCCCCTTAATCTGGCCTTGGTTATAAACCATATAATATATACTTAAAAATTAACTTTTCGAGTCTTCATATAAGCGAATTTGTCAATGACTTCTTCCAAATTTAATTGTTATGTTCGCTTAGTTTTAATGGAAATTAAATGACAAACTAATAACCAGGGCTTATAACTCCTAGCATATTTTTTTTGAGAGGTACCTATGTGAGCTATAAATTTGTTTCAGATAACCAAGAAGTTACATAGGAAATTTTATATTGCATATTTTTGTGTATTTCGGAGTACAAGTGCTTTTTGCTTATTTTTGGATTTTTGCATGATTTTTATCATTGATTTTTTTTAATTTTTTTCTAATAGCCTAAAACACTTTTTTTTTTAAAATAACAAGTTATTATAGTCATATTAATTGTTCATGTTAGTAATTAATTCGTGTTAATTAATTTTTCTTCTTATATCACTTATATAATATCAGAAGAAACTATACGAGTTTAGGCGATACGCGACGTAGCGAGAATGTACGCCCGAAACTTCGTAATCACATCGATAAGGAAGCCATTATAATTGTATATAATTGTAGCTAGTACCGTAGTTTTTTATTTTTATAGTTTCTTGGTATTTGGGTATTCCGATATCATCATTCTCAGATTATTTACAGATTATTTTTCATTAACATTTTGCAATCGTTTCCGATTTTCGTATTGTATGCAAGCTAATTCGTTTTGTGAATTCAGTATCTAATTTTTTTTTTTTTTAATAATAGAAGCTAAAATAATAAAATAATATAATAAATAGAGCGTAGATTTGTATGCATTTGCATATTTATTCTGGTTGATCACATGATATGCTAAGTGAGCACAACATTTGTTTCATAACATAATAATTTAAAAAATGAAATTTTTTTAATGCATATTATTGCATATTTTGACATTTTTCTATTTTAAGGGCTTATTTTACAATGTTAATTGCATATTTCGTATTTTTTTGTTTTTTTTGAAATATATAATATTATAAGAAAAAAATTTTATATTTTTATAGTTTCGTTTAACATCAAAACAAATGAATAGGTATACTTGTAGGTATAAACGATTTTCCCAAGTATGACCTTAGATCAATAATCGGGGAAGTAAAATACGTATTCTAACATAAGAAAATATCGATACGACTATGATTGACCATTGACATTATTTCATTTAGTACTACTCGGTGTCGGTATCAGTATCGCCTGATGAAGACCATTTTGTAATTTGAAAATGTTTACCAAATGTATCGATGGAACGATCGTGGAACGATTAATGTACTCGTTCCTACTCGTTCCATCTATGTAATCGTTACATTGTACCGAATACAGCGATAACGGCCCACCACTATTTCGCTATTTCAGTCCCTTTAAAATATTTACAGCTGTGCGTTCGTATGTGCTCGTGTCGTAATTCGCGTTTTTATTATTTTATTTTTTTCAAATTTCCGAAAGATAAATCTTCGTTATCGAGTCGTCTTCGTAATTATGAGCATGAATTCGGGTAGAATATTTTTTCAACCGATGGTCAAATCATACTGAGCAAATTATGTGGAGTAAAAGTTTCCCACTATAAACGGTATTCAATTACACAAAATATTAAAACTGAAAAACATTTAAAATATGTGAATTTACAACAGGATAAATAACGAAATTTTCAAAATTTATTCACTAATACTACAACACTGAAATATGAAATAAAATTTATTTTCTGCACATATATGCGAAGCACTGGTTTCGGCAAATTATTTTTTATGCATATTTTTTTTATTTTTCGAGCATATTTTAAAATTTTAGTGTATATACTTATGCATATTTAGGGTTTTTTTAGCGCATATTTGATTGGTTTTTAATGCATATAAATCCGCGCTCTAATAATAAACAATAATAATCTATCTATACTATATATAAAATTGTAAGGGTTTTTCTTAGACCGCGCTAACCGAGAAAACTACTGAACCGATTTGGCTGAAATTTTTTTTGGCTGAAACCCGACACTCTGCTGAAGGTTTTAGTACCACTTTTGTCAGTAAAAAAGTTCATGTACCAGAGGTACATAACTCGGAGGTCAATATATTGCACCTACCATCGATGAAGTACCTGTATTATTAGTTAATGAAGATAAAGGTCCCAGAGATATAGTTCTGCACGGTCGGAGTGGACATTTGAGTCGAGTTTCCGAATTTAATAGATATTATGATGCACTGCAATATCCATTGATGTATACTAGAGGCGAAGATGGTTATCACATTAATATTTTACAGAAAAATAACCAAAATATTACATTTATTGTTTATTTTCGGCGCTTGGTATCGTCAAATTAAAAAACATGATGTGATCAATAGATTTATATGAGGATTTAACAGTGGTGCAATTTATTTATTTTTAACTTAACGTATCTACCTAATTAGTAAAACAGATTTTAGACTGTAAATATGTAAAATAATATAATACAAGTAGCAACTAAGGTAGACATTATAATCTAAAATTGTGCCTTTTTATAATTTCCTCTCTCGGTGCCTATGAAATTGCCTACATTTTCCCCTTCAAAAAAATAAATTGCTATATATTTGGCATTATTATAATTATTAACAAATTATAGCTAAAGCAACTGTAGGCTATAGCCGCAGGTCTACAAATTACATTAAGTATTGTATTATTGTTCCAGAAATAGCTACACAATTATGCAATTACAGACTATATTATTTTGACTTGTGTAATAAGAAATTAATTATGACTAAATTTTTTGGAAAATAGAATATACAAAATATCAATCCATAATTATTCGACTATCCAAGATGATTTAATAATTATTGAGCAATTATTAAATAATTTAATTGTCACAGTCTAACTAAT